TAACGCTCATACTTTGTTTGTGTGTCGAATCGAGCAGTTCGTTCCCGGTTAATGCGTACCTTAGTGCCGGGATTTTTTCAAATTGTGGGTGTCATGCCCAAAAAATCAATTAAGCGAAGGCACCGCAGCCTTTCACTCGAATCTAGCGCGGAAAATGCAAGAAATATGGGTTATGTAATGAATTGTCTTCAAGACATCACTAAGAGATTGCGGAAAATTGAATATCGCCGCAGCCGAAGCCCAGTACGGAAACGACATCGGAGAGTAGTGTCGTCTTTGTCTTCATCGTCTCAGTCGTCGGAGTCCTCTCTGTCATCTAGATCAAGGACTCCCCCTGGTTCGAGTATAATGGATCGGTCCGGGGGCCACGCTTCAAATTGCACGGTTTCACCGATTTGTTTACCTTCGGTTGGTGAGTAACATTCGAACCTTTTTTCGTACTTCAGGGTATCAAGGAAGTATACCCATTCTCTAAGCAGGTATCGATGAGGGTACCTATTTATTTCGTCTGGTACGAATGAGTGTACCCAATTATGTCGCCTGGTACCAATGAGTCTACTAACATATTTTGCCGGGTATCGATGAGAGTACCTTTTTTGTTTTTGGCTGGATGATAAGGTATCAATGAGCATACCTTCCGTTTATCCCGCTCTTCACAGTTTCTGGTCAAGTTGGGACAACGTGTCACATTAGTGTTGATGATACACTAACACATCCAGGTTGAATAAATGTGAGTAACATTCGAACCTTTTTTCGTACTTCAGGGTATCAAGGAAGTATACCCATTCTCTAAGCAGGTATCGATGAGGGTACCTATTTATTCCGTCTGGTACCAGTGAGTGTACCCAGTTATGTCGCCTGGTACCAGTGAGTGTACTTACGTATTTTACCGGGTATCGATGAGAATACCTTTTTTGTTTTTGGCTGGATGATAAGGTATCAATGAGCATACCTTCCGTCTATCCCGCTCTTCACAGTTTCTGGTCAAGTTGGGACAACGTGTCACATTAGTGTTGATGATACACTAACACATCCAGGTGGAATAAAAATGTTGTTTCTTCCAGGGCAAGGAGACGCCCCTCCTCCTGGTGTCAAGCTCTCAGAAGATGTCGTCGAAATCCTGGGCACACCTGATACCAACACATTTATTTATGGGCCGAATTTACACAAAGATTTAGTTTCCCGTCGGCAAAAAGCTGTGGCCGCGGGGTTGTCTGAAGAGGACAAAAAGGAACTTTGCAACAAGTATCCTCCTCCCGAAAATTTTCAATACATGGCAGCCCCAAAACTTAACCCGATGGTTGTCAAGGCGATATCACCCTCAAATTTACAAAGGGACACTCGGTTGGTGGCTCTACAGGGTCAAACAGCCGCATGTTTAGCCGCTACGGGCCAACTTTTTAGCTTAATGTTGGCCGAAGAGGGGGGGCAACCGAAAATACCATCGGACTCCTGGCTTTTCGGCGAAAATTTGGAGGAACGTCTCAAGGCTTCCCACAGCTTGGAGGTGTCCGGGAAGACCATACAACCAAAGCCGGCAAAATCGGTTCGTAAGAAGTCTTTAAACTCCTAGGCCCCATCTCGACAACACCGAGCAACTCGTCGGAAGGGGGTCTAATATCAAGCTCAGCAGTGCTCGGGGTTCAAGCCACCACTGCGACACAAAAGTCAGGAATTTCGCAGCAACAACAACCCTCAACACGGACGAACAAATCGCAGTTGGCAATGAATCCAACCTCTGAGGTGCGTGTCGCTGGTAGGCTTAAACATTTCTACCCCAATTGGCTTAGGGTTTGTCAGGATAAATTAGTCTTTAGTTGGGTTAAAGGTTTAAAGTTACCATTTAGACATTATCCTAAACAACACAATTTTGCAGTTACCTCATGGTCACTTCAGGATCAAGCTTCTATCCAAGTTTGCATAGTTTAATTACTACTAACAGGAGCCATTACCATGGCTTCGGCGAGTGATAAGCAGTACATTTCTAAAATTTTTCTCAGGCCAAAAAACGATGGCTCTAATCGTCTCATTCTGAACTTGAAAAATGTCAACAGACATATACATTGCAGCCGTTTTAAGATGGAAGACAGTCGCACCGTAAAGAATTTAGTCCGCAGGAACTGTTTCATGTGTAAGGTGGACTTAAAAGATGCGTATTTTCTAATATCAGTGCACAAAAAATACAGGAAATGCTTAAGATTCGAATTTTGTGGGCAGCTATATGAATGTAGGTGTATGCCCTTTGGGCTAAACTTAGCACCTTACATTTTTACAAAATTAATGAAACCCGTTATTAGTTTTCTTAGAGCAAAGGGGTTTTTATCTGTTATTTACTTGGATGATATTCTTTTGTTTGGTAACACTCATGAAGAGTGTCTCTCTAATCTTAAGGAGACCCTAAACCTCTTACTTTCATTAGGCTTCCTGCCAAACTACGAGAAATCCATTTTAGCCCCATCCCAGTCAATTCAATATATTGGATTCATTTATAATTCGATAGATATGTCTATTCGTATTCCTCATGAAAAAGTTTTAAAATCCAGACAGCTAGTGCAAAAAATGTCATCAGTGGAAAAGTGTAGTATTAGAGAATTTGCCAGATTGTTGGGGAAACTAGTCAGTATCTGTCCTGGAATCAAGTACGGATGGTTGTACACAAAAAACTTCGAACGGGAAAAACACTTAGCATTACTCAAGTCGAGAGGGAATTTTGATGCAATCATGCGACTTTTCCCAACACTTATTCACGATTTTAACTGGTGGTTTAATAACTTGCCACAGGCAAAAAACTTCAAGTTGATTCGTTTGTTATAGAAATTTTTTCCGATGCATCAGACACTGGCTGGGGTATTAGCTGCTTTGGGAAAAAGTCGCACGGGTTCTGGTCGGACATTGAAAAACTACATCATATAAACTATCGAGAACTGTTGGCAGTTTTCTTTGGGCTAACATGTTTTGCAGCTAACCTATCTAATTGTAACATCCTGTGTCGGGTGGATAACACCACAACCTTGACCTACATTAATAAAATGGGTAGTGTGCGATTTTCAAAACTTAATAGTCTGGCGCGCACCATTTGGCAATGGTGTGAAGCAAGAAACTTATTCCTTTATACGGCATACATAAAATCAGCCGATAAGAAGGAAGCAGATTTGGAATCTCGTAGTTTGGAAACCGAGACGGAATGGTCCCTGGACGTATCTGTATTCGAAAACATAGTTGCACAGTTTGGCAAGCCTGAAATTGACCTGTTTGCGAGTAGAATTAATGCAAAATGCAAAAACTTTGTTTCATGGTTGAGAGATCCTGATAGTATGGCAATTGATGCTTTCACGTTGATTTGGGGAAAGCTCAATTTTTATGCATTTCCGCAATTTTCACTAATTTTGCGGGTATTGAATAAAATCATTCTCGATGGAGCAAGGGGCATCCTTGTCGTCCCCCTATGGACATCTGAACCATGGTATCCTGGGTTTACATCCCTTTTAGAATGTAATCCAATAAAATTTCGGCCATCCAAGATGTTAATGTCTTTCAACAGGTCACCACACCCCCTTTGGAGAAAGGCTACCCTGGTGGCAGGAATTGTATCAGGCAGGCGTTGATGTTGGGAGATGTTCCTCGGAATCGCTAAATATATGTCTTGCATCAGTTACAGATAACACAATTAAGCAGTACAACGTGGGCTTACGGCTTTGGTGGGAATATTGCAATCGGGAAAAAATAAATATTTACACCCAGTCGGTTTCTGCAGTACTTAAATTTCTATCATTTCATTTCAATAAGGGGTCTTCTTTTAGCTCTCTGAATTCATATAGAGCAGCACTTTCACAGATTCTAGGGCCAAATCTTAGTGAAGATTTCAGAATTAAAAGATTTTTCAAAGGACTGAGTTGCCTCCGCTCCCTAAGTATAACAACACTTGGGATCCAGGCGTAGTTTTGAACTGTATAAAAAATTCATATTCTACGAATCCTACTTTAGAACAGTTAACTCTCAAGACGGCCATGCTCCTCGCCTTAGCAACAGGCCAACGCGTCCAAACATTAGTTAGTATGGAAGTGTGTAATATTCAAAATTTCTCAGATCGGTTAGAAATCTGCATATCTAAAAGGATAAAGACATCTGACGTTAACAAAATGCAGCCCACATTAGTTTTGCCATTTTTTCCGGATAATGCCAATCAAAAACGTTACTGTTATATCTGGAAAAAACAAAGGCTATTCGAGGTAACGAACAGAGTTTGTTTCTATGTTTTAAAAGGCCGCATCGAATAGCCTCTGCTCAAACCATCAGCAGATGGTTAAAAACTATGTTATTAAAGAGTGGTATAGACATAAGTTCTTTTTGTGCTCAGAGCACTAGACATTCAGCTACTTCTGCCGCCTCCAGAAAAGGGATGATAGCATCCGGTTGGCAGCAGGGTGGACGGAAAAATCTAAAACATTGGCAAGGTTGTATTAAAAACCATTAGTTTCTAGTAAGTCTGACTTTGCGGAAGCGGTGTTCAGTGGTGGCTAATGTTAAAGAAATTAGAAATAGTTGTTTTTGTTCACTATAGAGAAATAGTGGAAATCATTGTTAGTTACTAATATGAATAAATAAGCTCCCGCCCTTTACTCTACCCTCCCCAATATGTTGCAATAAAGCTTTGAACAGCTATGAGCGTTCGACGGAGTGGTGGTAAGGACAGGACTGTATCCAGGGTGAGAAAATTTGCTTTGAACTGTGTGAGATTTGACTGCAAGCAGAGCTACTACACTTATTCTTATTTATGCCGGCGAGGCTCATATAATTAGGATTAAACTTCACTTAGGTAAGTTCGTTTAATCTCTCAATTTAATTTGTAAATAAATTTGTGCATGTCGCTGACGTACATATCTCAGTTTGACGAGTTATTACTCGTATTATACTCGTACAATATCCATCGCGTCTCTTATTTTGCGGCAGCATTATGCTGTTTAGTCGTGTTAGTATAATACTTTTTCACGATGGATGTACTTTTATTATGGCAGGATGGCACAAAAAATGTTGTGTCATCAAGTGAACTTTTTGTTTTGTAATACATTGAAGAAAGGAACTAAAGTGAACATGTTTTACGAAATGAAACGGTACGGTAGAAAATTGATTCTAACGGAGTGCGATATTAATATACTGAGTGAAAAGAAAAAAGGTAAACACCTACATATGTTTATTAGAATTCAAGAATTTTTTACATATCTATTTATCTTGCCATGAACAACAAGTGATAAAATGGTCAGGTTTTTCTCTTAACTTTATCTGGTGGCTGCGTGTATTGTTTGGTGATAAAGAAGCATTCCGTTTTCGTACATTTACGGTGTTTTAAATGTTAAATTTCGTGTAGCTTATTATATATGGAAAAATAATTGGTATCCGTTTGCTCTGGTGTAGAGAAAGAATTCTATGGGACCGGGAATGAAATCAGGTGGTCTTTAGTGACGACAAGGCGATGTGGTGAAAGACGTGATCCACTACTTGAGGGAGAGCGTTACGTTCACCACACCGTGGGAGTTATGATATGGGCTGCTAAAAGTGAACTCCCAGATATCGACTCTCTGAATGAGTTTACCAACCAAGTGGATACTTCAGATATCGACTCCTTGTCTTATTTTTCAGTCAACGTACCACTAGGTCAAATTAGGGCTAAAATGTTGAGCTCCTCCTTTTCAAGAAATTAGAAAATAGGAGTTCCTGAATAACCTGACAATGAGAGTGAAATCAGTGGGCAACCTGTTTACGAATGCCGATCTTCCGTAATGAATATTACCAATGCAAGAGAGAAGTATGGAGTTCCTATCATCGTTGTTTGACCCTTTTGTGCTATGCTATGCTTCATGGTTAACCTACATTGTGACTACCATACAACATGTATAGTGAAAAAGACCGTCAAAAGAATAACCAATGTTAATAAGGATTTAGAGCCTGAACAGCAAGAAGCAAGAAGAAAAAGATTAACAAACAACAAATGTTTAAGTGCCTTCAGCACAACATGTATCTCTTAAGAGAAAAACTGGTAAACCTAGGGGAATGAGGTCGAGATGCAAGAAAACCAGTTTGAAGAAACTAAGACGTCCTTGCTCAACAATAGAAGATTCTCAAATACGTCAGATTTTCAATGGTTACTATGCACAGGGAGACATTAACCGTCAACGCGAATTTATTATACATCACACTGAAGTCACGGATACCAAGCAAAAGATATCAAAAACTGAAGTGTCACGAAGAAAAAATAAAAGTCAGTTCGTTATTTCTTTAAAAAGAACAATGTAAGTATTCCAGTCTGCAAAACTTTCTTTATAAACACGTTAGATATTTCTGACCGCGTAGTGAGAACTGCATTGAAAACGACAAGCATTCTAGGTTTGTTAGACCTAGACAAGAGAGGGGGACAGAAATCTGAGACCATTACTGCAAGAGACATACAAATTCGCTCTAAAAAAACATAGATAGATTTCCCAGAATGCAGTCCCATTACTGTAGGGCTAATTCATGTAGAGAATATTTAAACTCAGATCTTTCGGTTTCAAAAATTCACTTTTTACATTCACAGTCATTGCCCTGACAATATCCTAAACCAAATCTGCCTTTTTTCCAGAGAGTTTTCCAGTCAAAGAACCTACCCTTTCACAACCTCCAGAAAGATCAGTGCTTATTATGTATTATGTATAAAACTGGTGATGCAAGTCTGAAGTCCAAATTTGAAGAAAACATTAATAAATACGCTTCAGAGAAAAATACTCTGCAAGAAACATCAAAACAGGAAGCATAAAAGATGTTTTTCAGTGTTCAATTTCACGTGTTATAACATTTTTCAACAAAGACTGGTTTTGCTACACTTGAAGTAAGGCCGAAAGTGAAAGAGGTTCTTCAGAGATTGCAGCCTGCGTGTACAATGCGTTGCAGTTTTATGTCTCAAAAGGACTCAAGATGGCGGCGTTATATTCAGGTGGTTGTGGCGGCCAAAATAAAAACAACATAATGGCCACAATGATGATATCTATAGTTCTACATAGTACAAACTTTAATGAAATTTCTTTAAAATTCTTCGAAACCTCCCATGGACAGAGTGACGGAGATTCTGTCCGCAGTGGTATTTCTCACGCCTCTAAGCATGCTGGCAATATCTTCACCCCATCCCAACTGTATCCAATATTTAAACTAGCCAGGAGACAACATCAATACAATGTTTGCCTTTTACAATACAATGACTTTTTGGATTTCAAGACGCAGGCGTAAGAGTTAAGAGTTCTGACAGTAAAGAAAGCCGACAATGGGGATCCAGTGAAATTGACCGAAATTATGGAGTTGAAAGTGTCAAAAAATCACCCACAACAGATTTTGTGGGTGATGTCCAACCTCAACTATGCTTTAACCTTGTCTTGAATCGATGAATCGGTGCAGGATCCAAATAATGCAAAACAACTGCTGAAGGTTTGTGTATGGTCTTCGAAAATATAGTCATGTCTCCTCTAAGATCAAGAAGTTGAAATGGTTGAAAATGGATCAACAATTTGAATATAGTCTTAAGGTATTTGTGCATAAGATAATGTGTACTAAAAAGCCCATCTACCTCCATAGTAAATTGGTAACTAGAGGAATCATTAATCTTAGAGATCTGAGGCATAATAATAATCTGACAATGCCTTTGCACTATACCGCATTGTTTGAAAAATGTTTCACTTTCAATGCTGTGAGGCTATACAACTCACGCGACCCTACCTGGTGAAGCAAAAGTGTAGTAACATTCAGGAAGCTGGTTAAAAATCAGCTATTAGATGTATCATGATTAGTTGTTATTATCTTTATGTTTTTTTTTGTGTTGTCATCCGTTCAGTATTGGTTCATGACTGGTTCCTTTTTGGTAAACCAATATAGCGCGGATTTATCCATTGATTGTATTTTTTCCCTTCCCTTCATAATTAGCTCCCTTAGTTGAAAGCCAGATCGATGTACTTATTTTCAGGTTGTATGTATGTGACATTGAATTGTATATACATATTTCCTTACACAATAGGGTTGGGTGTAAGAGTAACCAACTGGCTAAACTTCGCCCTATTGTTGTGTTACTAAAGGCGCAATTCCACTGAGGCAACTTTTATGCAACATGTAGCATGCGGCACACTCTTTCCATAGAGGCAACACAAAGCGACAAAAAATGTCTCCTTGCCGCATGCCACAATTTGCCCGTTGTTGCCTCTCGAGGGCGTCGTCAGCGACATGAATCCACGTGTTTTTTTTTATACTCCAACTACCACGAAGGCCTAAGCACCCATTGGGTACCGTGAGGCTATAGGGGGATACATGGGAAAAGGGGGGGGACGCCACACGGACTCTGGCGAGGGAACATGTGTGCATGCAACATGCACACATTCTGGCTCCGCCTACGAGAACCGCCGGGTGGTACCTCCGCGTTCGACAGTCAGAGACCATCTACCACCTACGGATAATCACAACATCCTTAGCCAAGAGAAAAATTTCTCCTGGGACGGGACTCGAACCCGCACAGCGCACGGCGACTGATCAGGAGACCGAAGAGTCTACTACTGCAGCCACCGCTGCTGCCTGTGTTGATCAGTGTCGCCGGTTATCCAAACCCGTTCGGATCGGCGCGGCTTGTAGCAGGCGACAAAATGGAGTGGACCAATGAAAAAACATTATCTTTAATTGAAGATTACCATAATTCGGATGAATTATGGAATAACAAATCGGAAAGATATAAAGATGCACGACTAGAGCAGGATAAATTACAGGAATTGTCAGGTAAATATAATTATTTCACGCTTTATGCGATGATGAGGCAAAAATAGTTGGTGGCTACGGCCACTTGCTAGCGTACAGTACCTTCATTCTTTTAGACGTACACGATTGTTTGCTCCTTGTCCAGCTGCCTCCTTGACTTACAAGAAGTAGACGAGTAGACCTATACCGCACTGACGAGGGCTAATGAGCCCGAAACCGTACTGTCTGCGGTTGGTTATGGTTTCAGGGGGATATGAAGCAAACATCTTCTCATTTTCTTCGCATAGTTGGCTTATTTATTAATGGTTGATTTCTTTATATAGGAAAATACAACTGTTCCGTATTTGAAATTAAAAAAAATAAGAATTTTCGTTCGGCTTTCCATCGGGAATGAAAAAAATTACGTGAAAAAAGAGTGGATCATCGCCCTGCAAGAAGGGAAAGTGGTTTTGTTATAAAGCACTTACCTTCCTGTTGGATGTAGATGAGCCCAGATCCACACTGTCAACAGCTCTAATTGATTTAGAGGGTATTGAGGTGAGTTTTTTTAAATATAAATACACAACTTTATGTCATTAGTAGGTATATTGAAAAATATATCCAAACAGCATAACTATGAGAGTAAAAAAGTAGGCGTAAAAAAATGAAAAGTTAGGCGAAATTGTCCTGCCAGGGCACATTGCCTTCATCCGATTGAAAATTCCTCATAAATTCCTTTCTGACTTCTTTAGCTTCGATAGTTGCCCTTTTGCTCTATTCGTCGAATTCTGCAGACCTGTATCACCTTGGACGACTGCCCGCCATGATCCAGGAATAATTTTTCCATCTTGCGTTTCGTTATCTAAGCTTCCTTGCGATGTTTTACTCCTTCTCAAAAAATTATGGAGGTAAATACATGTTCTTGTGATAATTTCGGCGTTTTCCAAATTGATCATACGTGGATTCCTGAATACACGAAATACAGTTGCTAGCAGCCCAAATGAATTTTCACTACACTTCCAGCGCGTGAATGCATATAATTGTACAATCTTTGAGAAGTGCCTTTGTCATGGTGGCCACTGAAGGGTTTCATGATGTGTTCCTGTAGTGGGAACGCATCATCCGTCAATATGACATAAGGCGATAGTTTTCTGCTACAAGGAAGTGGTTCTGGGTCAGGCAATTTCAGCGTTCCTTGAGCCAACTTTTTATAAAAGGATGTTTCTCGAAAAACACCTCAGTCGGATATCCTGCCTTGACAGCCAACATTAGCATATATGTATAAAGTTATAATTTGCGTCAGCAACGGCCATCAAAACAATGCTATAAGTCGCTTTGTAGTTGAAAAACATACTTCCACTGTTTTTTGGATTCTGGATGACAACGTGTTTTCCGTCACAAGCTCCTACGCAATGCGGATAATTCCAGGAAACTCTTGCTATGGTTCCCCGTTCGTTTTCTGAGCATGGCATCTGGAAAAAAATAATTAGCATTTACTCATAGTGTTAGTTTTTATTTTAAATTTGATTGTATTTGCAATTATTCTGTGACATTTTAATGACAAATTTCTTTTCAATTCTGATATATAGATTGTATCCGGTGATCATACTGAAATTGTTGACAACGTGCTTCATTCATCATCACAATGGCCAGTTACGTCCCCATCAGATCCATCAACAGCATCTGGTCCACCAAGAAAAGTGTTTAAGTCTCCTCCGAAGGTAACAAGAAAAAGAAAAGTCGAAGATCAACGTGCGTATGAGGAATATTCCATTTTGAAGAATCGTGTTAATGTTAAAAAGGATGCTAGCAGTGTTTTTGGCGAGTATGTCCTCAACGCATCGAAAGTATAGTCAGTACACTAGAAATGTAATCGATTAACATGACATTGTACAATGAGATATGGGGAAATATGACGAATTGCAGCCTGAACGTAACCCGCCTATTCAGCAGCTTCAGCCGGATGGATATCAACCACATACTATTTCGGTTTTTCATCCAGAAACCTCAGCAAATTCATCCCAAGTGGATAAGGTACACAGCGATTTGACATGCTACTATAGTTCCTTTTTCAGATGATTCATGTTCCTCTTCCAATTATTAGTTATCCCTGAGTTTATTCCTTTTAAGCTGCTATTTGTATTTTTCTTTTGATTAAGCCACCTTTTGTTTTCACCACAGGTTTCATTATAAATGAAAACGTTCTAGTTATCTTTCAGATAATTATTTACGTAATATACATAGGTTCCTTTGAAAGTGACATAAATAGTAATAATGTACCTATTTAGTATAAGGATTTCAACATTTTTTATCGTTTTGGAAACGATAACGTTACATTTTGTTTTTACTATGGATTTCATTATAAATGAAAATGTTTGTTACCTTCCACTTAATTATCCACATAGGTTCCTTCAAATCTGATAAGTATAAATAACGATAACGTCCTTATTTAATATGCAGACATCATTATGATCATCATTATAGATGTTATTGTTAATTTTATACTTCCTTCTTTTTGTTTGAAAACTGATATTTTATTATTAGAATAAAAAAAATGATGATGTATTGATGTTTTTACTTACCCTAACAAAATCATGTAGAACGTCCATCAAAGCTCTGCAAACCTCTGGAATTATTCGAGAAATGCTTGGTTCAGATACAAAGCGATACTATCACCCGTAGCCAAATATCTTAATGTCACTAGCAATCTCACGCGGGGCGTTATTGCTTCCCGAAAGTTGGTATCACATTTTTTATCATAGGTGAGATTTTTTCAAGTAAGTAGTGAAAAATCGTTTTTTTTTTCATCCGTGTAAAATTTCGGAATAAACCATCATCGTCAGCCACCAAGTTGTTGTACAAATTGTACTGAATTTATTGACCATCTACGTATGTTATATATTTCTTCTCCAATATTCTGGCGTTTTTCGTTTTCTTTTCCGAACCGAAGAAATTACTAAATAAGCAGTCACCGCGACATGACATGACACTGTCGAACGTCAACAAGAGGCAACACTAGGAAACAAGTAGCATGCCACATGTCGTTCATTGTTGCCTCAGTGGAATCGCGCCTTAATAAAGACATTTATTATTATTTTTATTATTTTCAAAACTAGTCACCTTAACGATAACTTCAAGGATTTATGTTTGAACGTCTCGGCACATCTGAACTGAGAAAGATGGTCAAATCGTTTGAATATTCAACCAAAAAAATCCAATCATCCATCTCGAAGAACAAAAACAGTTTTATCTTTCACTACCACATTAAAAAATACTTTTATTCAATGTTTATGAATTTTTTTACCTATTTCCAGGTTTTATTTTTTCGCGTTAGTTTACTTATTAACCCTGGAAAACTACCTGGGGTACACCTGTACCCCAGCGTTTAATTCAAGCCACGTAATTTTTGTAACACATCATGGCACCGTGCGCCCGTGTAGTATCATGGATCGACCAGTTGGTTGTTACCGTGCAGTCGGCCATTCAACAAGTGCTTCTGTTTTAGATATATTTTAGTTTTGGGGTACAACCGTACCTCGGGTAGTGTTTTCAGTACATTTTGTATTTGTCTGGAAATAATATTGCGGAAAGTAATTTGTTTCTTTCTATTGTAGGTAGGCTTTTAAAAAGTAACTATTTTATTTTTCAGTTTATGAAAATATGGCTAGTGACGCTAGAAGACCCCTAACACAACAAGACCTCGAGGCTATAATACAGGATTTTTCCAATTTTGAGTCAGATGATAACTCGGATATTTCGAACAACACAAATCTAGACCAAAGGCCGTCTATCTCTGGTGGTGGTGCACCTTTTGCGAACGAAAAAATGACAGAACATCAAGAGTCATGTGCAAAAAGTGCAAGACGTTCATATGTCTGAACCACCAAACGAAAGTCTGCCCTGAGTGCATTATCTGAGCAAAGAGATCTACAGACATATTTGATTAGCGTTCAAATATCACATAAAAACCGTTTATATTTTTGGACATAAAAGTTTTTAGTAAACAAGTACATTTCATTTGATACCCTACCCGGGATACAGGTGTACACACACAAAGTGGGATCATTTTTAAAGGGTAGGAATGCAGGGTTAATAATGTAGCATTAAAATTTGCATAAAGCTGCCTTTCATTAATCTGTTTTTCATACTATGTCAAGTTTACTTTAACATTATTTGTCTTCTAGTTTGAGTATAAAATATAAAACAATGTTTATTTCGAAGGGGTTGTTTTATTTTTCTATCAAAAGGAATATATCTTATAATAAATCACAGCAACATATTTCAACATACAGTTGTTGTTTTTCCTTAACTCAAGGCAAAAAAGTATATCAAATAAAATATTTTAAACCTATAAAAATAAACCCTTAAACTATGAAATCAAAACAGTTAAATATAATCAAACAAATCATCTTTAACTTTTATAAAAAGGCAAAGAAGACGAAAATCGTCAAATCTCCGCCCTCAAAAATAACAAAAAGTGAGATACGACACTTTGTGCAATTAAACGATGCACAGAACTAGAATAGCAGTATACGCTAAAAGAACAGCAGTAGAGCTACTATAGCGGTTTTGCGAAGAAAGAAATGTTTTTACGGAAATCATAATCAAAACTTGAAATCCCGTCACCCCCTGGTTTGTCTCAGCAGTATTTCGTTTATAGTATGCAGCTTAATCAGGATACTAATTTTCTCAGATCCGCCGGGCTCCACAAAGAAAAAACTGAATTGCCGATCCCAAAACGTTTTTTAAGCGCCAGAGAGTCCATGGTTTACCTACTTTAAGGAAGTGACTAGTTAAATAAGGAAACTTAACAGTTCAAAGTTACACCTATTTGACATGATGTTGGCTAAAATCTAGAAAAAAGTGACCGCTAATGATGAGATCTAAGTATTTTTGTCATTGAGTCGGTTGATAATGAACCTAGCGTGGTATAGTACTGACAACATATTCTTGCACGCAAATCTATGTCACTCATTTTCGTCGATTTTTTCATCTGTTTGGTTTGCTTGCGCTGGCATTATTGTAACTGCTTAATGCCAGAAATGGCTGAACCAAATTTGATGAGCATTCAGTGGCGGCCGGTGGCTGTGAGAAATGGGGGGCTATTGTAGGGAAGGGTGGCCTGCCGCAGTCACCGTCGGAGGCAAAGAATTTTTACGGTGCCACGCCCAAAAACTTCCATTTTGAGCCTTCAAATTCAAATATACATTTTTAGAGCTATAATTTTTTTTGCATTTTTTATGTCCTGATTTTGTGGATGGATCAGTTGGCAATCCTATACCTATATATTTTATGTACAGTCCTCTGTATAGGAACAAACATATTTTAGGTACGAGAACTTATCGCAAAAGAAAGCAGCATCTAATATGAAAGCAACAGAGCATCTATTATCAAAAGAACAACAGTACTCAAAAGTATAGTTTTTCACTTTCTTACAACACATGTAACTATAAATAACTGGAAAAGAGAACAGAAATACGGTATACCTAAATGTATTATTGTATTATAAACGACTAAGTATACCTACCTACAGCTAGAGCAAACATTGTGTTTCAACTGTCACACTTCACACTTCTATTTATTACAATATATTTTTTAATGTTTATATGTAAAGTCTAATCTTCTGTCTTTCTGTGAAATAAAATGTTCCATCACGTTTTCGTCGAAATTGCTGATATTATGTACCAGATTCTTATTAACAGACATCATTGCCAATGCATTCAGTCGTTCATTGCCCATCGAGTTTCTTAAAAACGATTTTATCCTCTTAAGGGTTGAGAAACAGCGCTCTGCTTCGGAATTTGACATGGGAGTAGTTATAATTATTTGCAACAACTTAGTTACTTCGCTAAAAGTTTCCTCTAGGTTGTTATTAGTCAATAGGAACAGCAAATTCAAACCACCTGTAATATTTTTGAAGTCTTCCCTCATGTACATTACTTCTAATTCGGTTTTCAGTTTTTCTTTACTTACCATTGGATAATAAGTCACAACTGAATTCAGTATTTTTGCTGGAAAATATCTCGAATAGTTTGTGAAGTTTTGTGTATCTAATAAAGATGCAGCTTCTAGATGACCCCTGTAAGAAAGTCTCTCTTTTGTCTGTACAATTATTATATCGCAAACTTCTTTTGCAATAATACAATTTCTTTCTTCGGGTCCTACTTTTCTGCGTTTATTTCCATTGTCTCCATGCTCATTTTCAACAGTTTGCTGTATATCCTCTGTAGTGTCCCTAATCAATACAATGGCCTTCTCAAATACGTCAATATCTTTTAAAAGTTGTACACTGTCTTTATTCCTACTTTGAAACTGGTTAAACAAAATAGCTACGTGCGGTAGGGTTTTGTGAAAAAAAGTCAAAAAAAAGATGAAATCAGAATCTTCGAGTGCTCTTCTTAAACCGTATGCCTCCTTACTAGTAATTGTTTTATCACATTTATTCTCTAACTCCCGGAAACAATCAATAAGACTTTCACGGTTCTCAAAAACGGCACTGACTGTGCGAATGTTATAATTCCACCGTGTGGGCGCAACCTTTGGCATTTTGGTTTTATCTATTTTTTCCAATAAATCGCATCTGTGCGTGGAGTTGGAGAAGAAACTTGGAATTGCCGACAGGTTTGAAAAAAACACTTTTACTTTTGGATTTTGGCTGGCTGCTCTCTGCATAATTAAGTTCAGTTGGTGAGCGTAACAGTGTATAAAATGAGCGTTCTGATATTTTTGTTTGATTTTTGTTTGAACTCCACCACTGCTACCGCTCATTACGTTTGCACCATCATAAGTTTGCGCAATTAATTTGTGGGGTGAATCTTTTAATAATGGGCCTAGTTCTTCTTCGATACACTTTGCCAAACCTTCATCTGTCTTGTCCGTAACGCTCAAAAAACGCCAAAATCTTTCTTGTATTTCACCTTCATGGAGATATCTAAATATCATTACCATTTGACAATGATGTGAAATATCTGTTGTTTCGTCGCACTGTATAGCTAAAAACTCTGCTGCATTAATTTGCTGTCGAATTTCTTGTTGGCAGACTTCCAACATACTATCTAGTATTTCATTTTGTACTGTTTTAGAAGTACCCTTAAACAGTGTCGCACTTTTTAAATGTTCCTTTAATATTGTATCCAGTTCGGACGTAAAATTAATCAACTCTCGAAAAATGCCACGATTTTCAGAGTCTTCACTTTCGTCGTGCCCTCTTAACGCTAATTCCAATTTACCGCAAAACTTTATACAGTTTATTATTCTTTTTAAAAGATACCTATTTTTGTCCACTTGCTCGTTGTGCTTAATAATATTTTGCCTGTAAGCGGAATCTAACTGAGCAGCGATACTAGCTGTTCCCAATAAAGCTAATTCTGTCGAACAAATCATGTGACGAGCCGAATTTTCATGCTTACTAATTTTCTGGTTTATATGCTTTAAATCTTTAAATCCAGTTCTTGTCCATGTCTTTTCCGCTGCATCTGAATAAAACAGTAAGCACGGAAAACAAAACAGGGCGTTTAATGTGCCACAACCGCATATCCATTTGTTTTTGTTATAGATATCTTTCTTAAAATGTCTCTTAAAACAACCAGCTTTCGTCGATTTATCAGCCTGAGTAAGGTTGATATTTGGAATCGGCCTTCCAAGGGATTTTATTATTATTTTTTCAGCAAGCGGAAGCCGAGAAAATTCACCTTTTAACAAATTTTGTACTTCATTTGCCATTTTAAACTTTTTGAACGCCCGAACGACGGCACGGGGACGCGACGAAGCGATTTCGTACACACGTAAATCGGGACTGGCTAAAAATTATTTCGCCACCTCGCGTGTTAGAATCCCGTATAAAACTCGTAAGCGCGTGGGGGGTATGACGTAGCGAGCCACTCAATCAGGTCGGCGATCGCGGCAAAAATTATTCTAGCCTCGAATCGATAGGGAATCTAGCTCGCGACTTCGGGGTATTGGGATCGGATGATATATATATATATATTGCGTGTTGCGTAACTGGCTACTATTAAAATTCAGGTTTTGATTGAATTTTCGTATATATCTGGAAATTATTTAATCACAAAATCATATTTTAAATTTTTTGTTAATTCGCATTTTGTCTTGGGGGGCTGTAGCCTTTTCGCCCCTATGGACCGGCCGCCACTGTGAGCATTATAGTTATAGTGGTACCTTGGTAGGTAGTGGTGCTTACTTCTGATGTGGCACTGGATCAAAAAGACAAAAAGTTGTGGATCCTCAACCTTTTTGATAAATTAAGGGCACTCTGAGATAATTTTAATCTTCTTACCTCAGTTCTGCAAAAACTTACAAATCCTTCTCCTTTTTGATGAATTATGGGCACTCTAAAATCTTTTGAATCTTCTTACCTCAGTTTTATTATCCCCTACTACAATTGTAATCACAAAAATTTTGAAGATGCGATTGTTGCAGGACATGCGGATCAGAAAAAAGCATGCTAGTTATTTCTGTCTGTCCGACTGTCGATCTGTCTTTCCGCCAATCCATGGTCCCTGTATTACTCTTCAATGAAGCTACGGGTAAATAAGAAAAAAATCGCTCGAACTTTGGCTTTTACGTTCCGTGGAAGGGTCTGTCTATCCTTTAATCCTTGGCCCCTCTATAACCTAGAATGTACTGCTAGGATTTCGATGAAATCTTGACACAAGAATACTACATCCAACAGGGGACAAATAACAGAAAAATAAAAATAACCCAAAAATCGTTTTTCGGCATTTCTTCTTCTGCTCATCTTTGAAACTTTTTATGGAGAGTAAAAATTTTGGGGGTGGGGGTCGCAAGAGGCGGGAGGTATATTTAAATTTTTTTTGGCATCGATATGTTTGAACGCTTCTATCCACGGTAAATCTACTCAGCTAATAGATCTTTTTCACACTTATATTTCCCCGTATATTTGCCTTTAAGATTTAGAAAAACAAAGACATTTTCGATACCCATGTCGCAATCAAAAAAGGAGATATACGAGATAGCTGATGTTGTGGCGGTGAACTCATCGCATCTCTACTCGCAACATTGTCACATAGTCGGTAAGGTAGAAAAGAAATTTTTAGATCATAACGTTGTCAAATGAATGGGGACTGGGGACTAATTGTATGTGTATATCTGACTGACTTAATCCATTCAATTCCTTTGTTATGCACGATCCGTAGCTAACTTTTTTCTACGACGGGCTAACTTGGTCCGAATACAATATTTTATGAACTGATGGCAAAATATCATGGGAAGTGTAGAGTCAATCTACTTGACGCCATTTGTTCCATGCTGTTCTTTAACCCCGTTAAAGGTTTTTTGCGAGTTCATTTTCAATAATATTTTGCACTTACTCAAGAATTTGCAAATGTTTGGTAAAAATGAAGGACGCGTTCTGGATAATTAAAATAGAAATAGGAAGTATCTACCGAATCAATATACTGCATTTAATTTTTATAGATCCCACTACGGAATAGAGGCACAGATGTAACTGTCGCGGCGTAAGAATTCATTAAGTAGATTAGTCGAACTACAGTTACTGTCGACAGAAAGGCTAGACTATTTTTTATTCAATTCTATTCAAAGTAGAGACTTTTTATGTAACGTCCTTTAATGAAGAAGACGGCAGATAATGGATTGACAGACTATTATGCATAAATTGATGAGACACTTCTGCATGAAATGTTGGAGAAATGAGAGCTTTCTTATACGGCTACGCATTTAATTTTTCCAATATTTTACGCTTTAGGGTCTACGTAAGTTGTAGTCCAGTTCTAGAAGAAGCGAAAGATGTCTGATAGTAGTCCGATCATTTGGTAGTTCTACCTGGAAAGTTTTGAGAAATTCGCTGTTTACGTGTGGGTACGTATTGACGTATTAAGGATAAAGCTCCTTACTATGGAAGAATTCGTATTGTAATTTGAAGTATAAGGCGTTGAATATGGGACATTTTCTCTAGTTTAATTTTTATCAGACATAGGATTGAGCATCGGAAATAGCACTTTGACGTCAATAACGCGCTAGATTTTAATCAAATGGTTGATATAATAAAGATTTTCATGCAAACATTTCCGTATTTCTAATTCTACCATAAAGGCCACTGAATCCTACCTCCTAGATTTTATAAAAAAACGCTACAACGGATCAATTGTATGGCCACTTTGAAAAAATGACATGAAACTATGTAATGGGTGTTATACCGGATGTTTCAAATTCAACCCTCACCATTGGGATCTCGGAAACTGTAAGAGATACGAAGTCGCTTAAACGGAGGCAAAGTTGCGTATTTATGTAATTAAAAAATGCCGCTTAGAAATTCAAAGTACTTCCGGAGAGGGACGAAAAAAAACTAATTTTTCCAAATTCGTTTCAATTTTCTCCCGACTTTATTTGAAGTGAGATTTCTAATTATGCTTCACATTGACATTGCTACTTTTTTTCTCTACCAGATGGAATAATTAAAATTTCAACTTGACGTTCTTGTTCTCCAGCATCAACTTTATTTTGCACAGATGAATCAAGTTTCTAATTCTGATTCCAAAAATGTATAACACGTCAAGCAATGACCTTGAAAAACCTCAGTCATTTAAAAAAAGCAGACTTTCCTTGGTGGGCCTTGAAATTATCAATTTGTGTCATTTGTGTCGCATATCAGATTTATCCCGAAATCATTTTTATGTTTTCCTGGCTCTATTTGAGACGGGATTTCGAAATAAGTTGTATTTTTCCCTTGTCACTTATTATCCTTTACAAGATGGCGTAGTCTATTTTTCAATTCGAGGTTTCTTCTTTCGACTTGCATCACCAACTTTGTTTCTTCAAATGGTCGTTATATTGGAATTTTGTACAATTAAATGGACTTTTCAGTTCTAAATTTAGTGTTTTATTGCCTTAGTTGGTCACTAATCTATTGCTGGATGAAAATTGCAAGGCAATAAAAGTGTATGGTAAAGCCTGAACACAAAATAAATGTTATTGACGGTAATAATAATAATCATAGATAGCAGAGGTAAATAATAGCAGATGTTTAAAATTAAAATTTTGTAGGCAAATCCTGATACTTCCCTGCTTTATTTCCCTTCTTATCAGTCTTTCAAACTCTATTAGTATGTTCAATTTGAGGTCTGGTCTGGTATACAAATGACTATCTGTTAATTTCAAGGCCTACCTAGAAACTGCGGTTTTTCTGGAATAACTGAGGTTTGGCAGTGACAATCTATGACATATTGTAATATATATTGTTGAAACCACATTCAAGAACTCTATGTATCTGCGCAAAAATGGCCTTCATAAGTAAAAATAAAGGTGATGGTGGGGAACACGAGGCGAAACCTCATATTGTTAGTTACGTATATTGTGGTGGCTATGGTACAGTTTTCTTTCATGTGCGAGATCAATTCAGGTTTTTCTGCTGTTGCAATTATGAAGTTGTATCTATGACTAACGTTAAATTCGACCTTTTCAAAATATTTTACCTAAGAACTGAGGCGTATCAAAATAATTTAAATAAACAATTAACTACGCCACAAAAGTGATCAAAAACTCGACAAATTACACAGAATAAAGTTTTAATGAAATTTCTGAAACGATAGCTAAGATTACGCGGTTACAAGACCATCAATAGACAGATTGAAGGAAATGGACGACATGAATACCAGTGATGTTAACACAAAACGTCCGACAAATTTGTTATATGAAATTCTAAAGTTTTCGTAATTACAACAATTCCCTATTTAAGGTGCGAAGGAGAATGGCGAATAAGATAGGTGGCCATGTGAAAAAGCTTCAAGGAGCAGGATTAAATAACTTGAATTTTTAATCAGGCCCTCACCACAGAGCCCTGGGTCTACAAGGCTAGTAACACTAGTATCGGACTATAAGAAACTAGAACTACGTACACAATTGGAAGAAACATGCAGCGATGAAGTCACGTATATTTTCCACAGACTTAGGTACCCAACTGATGTAACAATAGCATCTATCTACGATTTTATAACACGGAAACTCCTTACGTAAACAAGATTACCGTGACAGTATGGAGATAATAGAGTTAATGCTCGTTTTCGTAACTAAATTCATTGTTCTCGTGACACTTGTTTAACGTTTTCTCCTGTAATAATAATGAACGTCACGTCTCAGATTTTCCACAGTCTTCGAATTGAATTACATGGGAGAAATGACTGGGGAATGCGGTAAATCGATTGGCCTTTTGACGTACAAAAGCGTATTTAATTTTTCGTCAAAGGAGAGTATGAGCGAAGTGTGAGTAACTCATAAAATAATGTTCTTTGTATCATGGGGTTTGACCCAGAATGCAACATATCCTAAATACTTGCATGATCGATGGGTGTTAAGTGAACATCAAAAGAAGATAAATAAAGCATTGGGGTATATTCAGTTTATAGTAGGGGAGCTCAGGACCTCAGGATGCTAAATGGTAAGTTGCTCTAGCGTCGAAGAGTCCTATGGAATTTCGAAGATAAGGGAGCGCTCAAGCATTATTATTACGTAAGCAGATTTTTACAATTATCAACCACCCATCCCCTTGTCAGCAGAGCAAAATGCTGCGAACACCAAAACCATTTTGATGGAGAAAATCAATCCTATTGACAGCAAAATAAAGCACGTTAAATTGGTGGAATACTAGTGGGAGATAGAAGCAATGAGCGCTTTTTGAAGATTGCTGAAGAAAAATTGCCCACCGGATGTAAAATCCATGCTGCAGGAGAAGTAAATGCAAGGATCAGGTTCACTGGACTGACCATGGAATATAGCGAATAAGAACTCATCAACAACATAGCCAGGATGAACAGCGATATTATAGAAAATAATTCCACGTTGAAGCTTATCAGTATGACGTACTAAAAATGCTAAGGGTTCTCAAGCTCTCCTACAAGTTGACAAAATCTCCTACGATAGAGCTTAAGTGCAGGTAATGTCTTTGTCGGTTATGAAAATAGTTACATAGAAATACTACAGCTAATCAGATATTTGGATATTGTATGTACGAGCCCCTTCCCACTTCAGTTGGCCCACTTCAAGATTTGTACCAAAATATGCCTTTATAAACTAAACATGACGAAACTATTTACTTCTCAAACAATTTATTTTCTCAAATACATTTTAGATACACTCTAGTCGTAAAAAATACATATTTGAAATCACTTAGACCTATAACTAATAGAACATCTGAACAAATAAACAATGTACGAATAAATGCGCGAAGTTAACAAAGCAACACTTGACAGATTGACCATTGGGTAACATCATTTTTATTTTTTATTACGGGTGAAATTCTTTGAGGCATAGTGCTAACCAAGTTTTTGAATAAATTTGGTGTAAAACAATCCCATATTTCTTGAAGCTTTTGTCTCAGTTCGGTGATTGTATGAGCATGATGTTGTCGTAGAACCTTTATCATCTCGTGCCACAAAGTTTCAATAGGTGACAGATCTGGACTTCTAGAAACCTATTTCAAACGTGGTACATTATTTTCTTCCATCCATTTTATAGCCTTTTTGAGGTATGGCACGCTGCACCATCTTGCTGAAACACAAAATCTTGGCCGGATGTCAAACATTCTTCCATCACTGTTAAAAGCGATTCTTCTAAAATTGCCAAATATTTGTTTTTATCCACGTTTCCATCAACAAAATGAAGTTTTCCTACTCCTTTTGATGACATACTGCCCCAGACCATAATGGATGCTGGAAATTTCACTTTTCTCTTCAGAGAGTCAACATGGAATGCTTCATTTTTTTGCGAATAACTCTACTGCGACTGTCACCAACACACACTTCGAATCGGGCATCATCACTCCATTGTATTGCACTCCATTGTTGAGGTGTCCATTGTCTATGTTTTTAGCCCATCTAAGCCGATTTTTCTTTTGCAGTGGAGTTAATAGTGGCTTTTCTTTGGCCTGTAAACAAGTTGTGCAACTTTCGGATTTTTGCTTCACTTTTTTTATAAGAAAACTTACCTTGCAAGTGCTAAATCCCAGTTTGTGAGCCTCTCTATGAGTTGTGGACCTCGAAATTCTCCTTCCAACAGCGTCACTCCACAGAGCACTTAATTGTAAATAATTGGCACGCCTGTTTTTCACGATCATTCTTCTTAATGCTCTTCGGTCGGCATTTGTGATATTACTTTTTTTCACATTCCGCTGCACCGCGATAAGTCTAACAAAGTTACAATTTCCGAGTTTGATTTCCCAGAATTAAAAAATTTTATTTTCAGTAACCGAATTTTCTCACTAATAACCTTTCCTCTACCCATTTTGAAAACCTTAACTACCCAAAACTATTTTACACGTATTCTGACAGCTGTAATTAATAAAAACAATTGTCATGGCTTTTATTTTTCACAGCCACCTATGCGTTACAGACTTATTTTGCATTGAAATGAAAATAGGTTGATATGCTGTAATTGCAACATGTGTTATTTTTAAGCTGCAAATTTGATTAGGGAGTGATGAAGTTGGTGTTTTCTACTATACTAAGTGACATATAAATCCGAACACCCAGTTTAAATGGTTTTATTTTAATAAAATTTTGTATAAGTACTTAATGAAGCATAATAAGTCAATGATAAAAATTTCAAAATGATTGCACTGCTTTAAAGCCCTTTGACCTTTAATAATATCAGGATGCACCATGATGTGCTACGCATTCTCCAACGCGCCTAGGCATGCTTCTGATCAGGTGGTCAATGTCCTCCTGTGGTATCTCATTCCAGGCAACCACCAACTCCTCTCGAAGTGCTTCTAGCGTCTGAGGAGGACGTTGCAAATTGAGCAATCTCCTACCCATCATATCCCACACGTGCTCAATTGGGGATAAGTCGGGAGATCTTGGTGGCCATGGTAACAATGTGACATCATTATGTTGAAAGAAGTCTATTGTGACTCTTGCAACATGTGGTCGGGCATTATCTTGTTGGAAAGTTGGATCTGCCAGGGTGTCAAGATAGGGTAAAAGATGGGGTTCTAGAACTTCGTGGATATAACGCTGCGCGTTCATGTTACCTCTGATGAAGATTAAAGGTGACCTGGAACCATAAGCTATAGCACCCCAAACCATAACTCCAACAGTGTGATGAACATGTCTTTCAACAAAAATCTGTGGATTCCTCCTTTCACCACGTCGCCTTCTAACCCTGGCACGACCATCGTGCATGCCTAAACAAAATCGAGACTCGTCACTAAAGACAATACTGTTCCATTCCTGAACCCAGAGTGACCGTTGTCTGCACCACTCAAGGCGATTACGTCGGTGTTCTCGAGTTAAAGGGAGGACCCAGTGTGGCCGGTATGAAAACAAGCCAAAACTTCTCATTCGTCGGTAAACACTTCGCATGCCAATAGGTCTTCCGTGTTCTGCAAACCATTCATTTGCAATGGACCTGGTAGTGGAGAAACGGTCCCTTAAGGCCAATAATCTTAGGCGGCGATCTTCACCGTCTGTTGTTCTACGGCGGCGTCCAGTGCCCCTTGCTCTTTGCGTACAGCCTTCTCGAAGCCATGCCTGACAACACCTAACCACAGTGTCTACACTTCTTTGCACTCTAACTGCAGTTGCCCGAAAAGAAAGTCCAGCTTCCCGAAGTCCCACTATACGGCCCCTATCAAACTCACTAAGTTGACGAAATCGTACAGGTCTCCGTACTCTAGGCATCGTAACCGATCGTAAAGGATGTCAAGAACCAAAATCCGCCAACGTTGATTCTTTACTGCGGCTGAAATATTCATTTTTAGAGCGTTAGTGAATTAAATAAAAGCAGTATAAAAACAGGAATGTCCAACTGATAGGGCTGAAAATTTTTTCATTTGTTACTTACAGTAAGATAAATACATTCACCAACTTTTATTAAAATAAAACCATTTAAACTGGGTGTTCGGATTTATATGTCACTTAGTATATATATTATCAAAATATTCATTGTTAATATTTTAAACCTATAACACCCTGCTACATTTTCATTATTTGTGTTTGATAAGAAAAAAACTAAGATTTCAATAGTTGGGCCAACTGAAGTGGCAAGGGGCTCGTATATGCCACACAGACTGTTCAGATAGATGACCTAGTCGTAATGACCCGTAATCTGAAGATTATTTTGAGGGACTTTGTTAATCTGACAATTTGAAAAATATATCGTTTTCAATCACTGAATATGTTGAACAATACACAAAAAATAGCATGCAAGTAACAAAATATATTCCACTTACCTACAATGCAAATGTATTCAGAAAAATATAGCAAAAGAAAATACAATAGATGCAACACTACGACGATACTCTAGAAGCCGTAAGGTATCTTTTAGGGTTTCTGTGTAAATATAACATTTTTGTCAAATGTAGTTTGCCCACAAAGCATACACCTCGTAGTATTATCATTCATCGTTGTATTAGGTATTAAGCTCATAAATGTGTTTGATGTTAAAACAGCTGTTGGTAGTGTCATGCGACAGAAACTAAAGCGAAAGAGTAGGAGCTAGACAGAAGTGAAAGGCTATACTGTAGCTGCACGTACTAAACATTATTGACGATTTTTTTCTATTTCGGTTTGTTGAAATCTGTAGTTTATATATTTTTCTACCAGCGTGCGGAAAGTTCTCACTTTCAATAGGCATCTGCGTGCAGAAAGTAATCCAAATCCCTGTTGTTTTACTTTTAATACTTTTAATAATTATTATAAATGAATTATTGATGTTGTTGTAGTTGATAATCTTGATTTTAAAATTATCAAATTTCTAATAAAACATTATTGAAAATTCTGGATTTATTATTTTCTCGCGCTGCGCTGTTAGAAAAAGTCTAATAGGTCCCTAACACTTCCGAAATAAGTATCACTTTCCGCACTTGTTAGGTAAATAACTATTTTCACTACTGATTCTTTCTATGAAAAAAAGCGTTCGGGCTCGAGAATTTCAATGTGATATTCTTACCGCAACTTTGTGACACTCCCATTCACTTACGTCATAGTCAAATTTTCAAATTATTGAAATGCACACTTTTCAGTATTGATCTTAGTCTGACGCGCTCCAGTATTTATAACTATAGATTTTTTTCGCTATTCTAATCGGAGGACTAGATGCACTACCCTATATAAGGGGTTCATCCTGCGCCTTTCAGGAAGGTCTTCTTTCTACTTATTTTCCATACAGGTCAAGTAAGCAAGTTGAAATTCGAGATAATAAAGTCGCGTTATCTTATATATTTTTTTAAATAGAATGACAACTCTAGAATATAAAGTAACTATTTTCCAAAATGCCGGACTCGGAAGCTGTCAAAGCTGAACGTTCTGGTGTTGAATTGCTTATAACTCAACAACTAATCATTAAACCGTTACAGTATGTTATATCAATTTTTTTGGTATGAAACGTTAAAAAAAACAGATTTTGACAATAATTGGGATATTTCCTTCCAAGAGAACAAGAATGATACCTATATCATGCCATAGCGTTTTGAGAACTGTTTGTTGGGTTATAAACGACCCAATGTACAAAAACTGTCAACATTGACAACATCCTGTCAGTTCGCCATTCTCAAAGACGGTGATTTTATATTCTATAGCTTTGAAGTACATAAGTTGCTTCAAAATGAAGTACCACACGAGCCTCTATTCCATTTAAATAAATATTCTATATTTGCGCCCAGCCGCCTCTTGGAATTTTTAACTGCCACTTTTACACTAAAATATACCATTTATGTATTAATTTCGTCACCCCAAATTTCAATTTTATCACTTGACCCGTTCAAAAAATAAGTAGAAAAGGGACGCTTTTGAAAAGCACTGTATATGGTGGGGATACTCAACAGGATACAATTATGTTAATCTGTCGCATTTGAGTAAATCTCAAAATTCCCTCTTGAGAAAATGCTGAGGTGACTTTCACGCTCCAGTTAAGGCTTCAACACAGCATAAGCTCTGAGAATGAGTAGGAATGAGCTGCGGAGGGCTATTGAATTTTTGACCGCCTGTTAGTTATTTAGAGCGTAGGTGCATTCAGCCCTTGTATGGCAGATACACAAAAACCACTACAGATACCTAACCTAATTCGTGACTTCAGACGAAAGACAAGATTGAGACCCCAATCTCGTTGCTAATGAAAAAGTAATCTTGATAAGTGCAAAAATAAAATTGAATTATCTGGTCTACAGGTATCTGCAACAACATACCAAACACGTGTTTTTACCAATCATTGAGCAGCCAACATGAGAGTTTGAATAACTAAGGCAGGTTACTCACAATATACTCGTATAATCAAAACCGAGGCAGCGGCGACTGAAATTAATGGTGGCATAGACATTTGCAAATGCAAATCGTACGATTCGGCCATATTTCATTACCTCCCGAAATTGTGTCACAAAAGTCATATTTTTGTCAAGATATATCAACTTTTAACCTGGCCTATACATAGGGTGTTTGTCCGATATGACTAGACGAAAAAAGAAGGATGAACAAGAGCAACAAGAAGATAAAGATAAAAGTTATTTATTCAAGAATAATGAAAATATTACTATAGAGCAAGAAGTACAGTACCTGAAGGAGCTATTAGAAACAAAGAATGAAATAAGTTTAGATAAAGAGAGGTATATCAATCAATTAGCTAATGAGAACAGACATTTACAGGAGGATTATGAATTGACAATTAGCAGTATAGTGGATAAAGAAACCATAATCACTTCTTTGGGGGAAAAAATGAAAGAGTTCAAAAAATGGAAGCTACTACCTCATACACCCATTGTAATGATGTAATTAAATCATATAGTGGGGTTGTAAAAGAGTCAAAAAAAGCAGAGATGAGAAGATTCTAGGGAAAACTAATAATACACAAAAGTTGATTATAAGAAGTACGGACAAATCAAACTCTAACGTGTTGGACGATTTGAAGAAGAGCATTGATCCAGCTAAGTTAAATATTTGTTTGCACTCTGTGAAGAGGGTGAATAATAATGTCATTCTTAGCTGCGAAAATGAAACATCATTGTCCAAGCTGAAGGCGAGTATACAGGGAGAACTCTGTGCGAGCTTCACTGTCAATGAGATCAAGAAGTATCGCCCACGCATGGTGATAAATAATGTAGAATGTATTTGGTATTTTCAGTAGTGATGATATAAAAGCTGTAACCACTTTCATATCTTCCGAATCTACTTTAAATGTTGTCATTGAGGTTAGCCCAAAATTTAGAAAAACGTTGCTAGATAGAGGTCATATATACATGGGTTGGCAAAGATGTCCTGTGCGGGATTATGTACGAATTATACGCTGCTATAAATGTTCAGGTTTTGGCCACATGGGAAAAAATTGCATACATTCTAAAGTATCATGTCCTTTATGAGCTGGAGATCATTTGGAAAAAAAATGTAAATCGGATTTTAAGAATTGTTCAAACTGTATGAATCAGAATTCTAAATTCAACAATCAATTTGATACTAGTCATTCTTCTAAAGACTTAGATTGTCCAACCTATAAAAAATATGTTACATACTCGAATCTAAAACTCAATATGAATAGTGATAAATTCAAGATTTTAATATTTGTTCATATAAACTGCAGATCAGTTTCAACAGGATTTCATGAATTTAGTACTCTGGTTCAAAACAACAACCTTGATATTGTTGGAATTACGGAAACGTGGCTATCAAAAGATATATCTAATGACCATATAAGAATGAATGGATACAACTGCTATCGCTGTGATAGAGATGGGCGAGGCGGTGGGGTTGCAGTCTTTGTAAACAACCACTACAACTCTTCCATAATTTCATTTGGGCAAGGCCCAAGTCTTGAATATATATGGTTGAAGGTGCAGCTTCTAAAACAATAAAATGCTATTGGTATATTCTATCGGTCCTCACATAGCTCTGTTACAGAAGCCGGTAATACCTTTGATGACATGTTGCCTGCCATGTTATCTGAATATGATGATATCATCCTTGCATGGGATATTAATGTTAATTTGCTTTTAGTTTGTAAGAACTTGACTAAATGCCTTGATTCTTATAATCTGAAACAGGTGATATTCTGAACCGACTAGGATAACTGAATCGACACTCACTCTCTTAGATCCTATTTATTTGAGCAAGCCTGAAGGTTGTCTTAGGAGTGGCACTATTAATGCTGATATGATTACTGATCACTATTTAAACATCCGTGATATACGTATTACACTTCCTGAAAATCAACAGAAATTTGTGATATTCAGGGATTACCATAATTTAAATGAAATAGTATTTGAACAAGATCTCAAGAGTTTTCCATGGTGGCATATTAAATCGATAGATGACATTGAAAGTAAACTTAACTTTTTAACAGATAGTATTTTATGTTTATTTAATGTTCACTGTCCAAAAAAGGTAGTGCATGTAAACAAAGCTCCAGCTCCCTGGTTGGATGATAATATTAAACTTGTATTCAAGCAGAGAGCTGAAGCTTTGTCAAAGTTCAAACATGATCGTACAGCCGCCTCTTGGCAACAGTATACATATTTCAGAAATCGTGCATTAAGACTCGTGCGGAAAGGAAAAAGAGATTATTTACAAGCTGTTCAAAATCAGGATATAAAAAAGTTTTATAAAACCCTAAAGGCTTTCAAAGTGCAATCTCAGAAAGATTCTACAATTCCCGTGAGTTTATCAGATCCGTATAAAATAAATGAGGCATTCAGTTCAATTTTCGAGAATAGTCATGTGGGTTGTGCTGATAAATTTAGTAAAGTGACTATTGACAGCGTTATTAAAATTATACATAAAGCAAAATCAAATTCTAGTGGTTCAGATGGAATAACTTTGCATGTGATACTACTATGTATACCTGGAATTGATGTATACTTAACAAATATTATCAACTGCTACTTTAGAGAGGGTAAATTTCCCCAATCAGTGGAAACACGCTATAGTTGTTCCGCTACCTAAGTGTTCTGATCCTACTAACTACGGTCATTGGTCAACTGAGACCGATCAGTCTACTGCCTATTTTTTTTAAAGTATTCGAACGCGTTGTTTACGAGTAGCTCTGTGCCTACTTATATTCTAAGAAAATTATTCCATCTAAACAATCTGGATTTCGACAATGTCATAATACAGCTTCGGCACTATGTGATTTAACAGACTATATAACAATGGCACTTAATATCCAAATCCAAATATCTCATACTTCTTGACTTTACTAAAGCATTTGACAAGATTAATCACTCACTTCTTGGTTCTAAATGCAGTTATTATGGATTTTCTGAAAAACCTCTTTCGTTTATTCAAACCTACCTTGAAAATCGATATCAAAAAGTTCGTCTAAGTCAACAATACTATACCGAACAACATTTTCATTATATATCTCAGATTTAGAAACAGAGGTAAAATCATGCAGCATACAATTTTTTGCAGACGATACTCAATTTTTCTATTCATTTAGGAGTAATGACTTGGAAACAGCAAATAATAAAATTAATCAATCTTGCCCAAATTGAAAAGTTTAGTAGTAGTCATAGTCTTCGTTTGAATCCTTTAAAGACAAATATGTTGGTATGCGCAAATAGAACAAAAAAGAATGCTTTAAAAAAGGACATAGACATACATTTAAAAGGTAATAAATTAGTTCCTGTGGATCATTCGAAGAACCTAGGTATTATAATGGATGATGTACACGTAAGCTATCTAATTTCTCAGTGCTACGCTATTCTCAGAGTTTTATTTGCAAATAAGGCTATATTACATAAATCTGCGAGAAAGCAATTATGTGAATCTTTCTTGTTTTCAAAGATATCGTATTGCTTAATGGTTTACTATCCCGATTTATATATTATAACAAGAAATCGTATTCAAAGTATTATGAATACATGTTGCAGACTTGTAAATGGTCTCAGAAAGTATGATCATATATCGAATGCCATTAATGAAGTCAAATGGATGAAAATCGATAAAATGTATAAGTAGCAGCTTCTAAATCTGACTCATAGGGTTCTTTACAAAAACACCGTCATATTTAGTGAACAAATTCATACGTAGAGGGAATATGCATGGCATTAATATTAGATATAGAGAGACTTTTCCAATTCCACGCCACAGCACATCTCTATTTCAGAACACATATATTTACAATGCGATCAAATCCATATAATTCTTTAGACCGCAGTTTAAATGAAACCAATTATTACCCATATTCAAGAAAAAAGTGAAAGAAGTTCTACTTGATCAGCAGCGAAATCTGTTGTAACCCACAAGTGGCCTCATATTTTCCTTATGCCCTTACTTAGATTATACTTTATTCTGTCGTTATTGTATACAGGTATTAATTTTCAACAAATTCTCAGTTTTTTGATACATCTTATATTGCTAAGGGGGTTAGATGGTAGAATAGATATATTATTTTAATCTCGCCTCCTGTAATAATATTACAAATAAAAAACGTTAATTATTATTATTAAATCGCACGATTTACATTTGTCTGTTAGCCCCTTGAAGACTAGAGAGGAGGTAAAGCTGCGTAAGTGATACACGTATTCGTAGAGAGCCAACCCTGTCGCCAGGGATAGTGTAGCTGGGAGAAATATAGTGGACGTAGAACATGGTGTAGAGCTTGTACGCTTTGGGAAAAGTCAAAAAATTCTATATAGCTTGCCGCAATCTTTATGTTCTTTTCACTCACCTTTTCCCATGTTTTGTAGGTTTATTAGATTAGGTTAGGTTAGGTTTCTTCTGAGTGCATCAATAACGATCCTCCACTGTGACTCTTTGATCTATTTTGGCTCACACCTAGGTTTATTACTTCGTGGTTTATTAATATCTATTATGCAATATTTCTGCTTGCAACTCGACCGAAATGTCAAAGTCGGAGTTGTTTACAATCATGATAACGGCACACACACACACACGCATACACACCTACACACACACACACACAGAGAGAGAGAGAGAGAACCAAAAATTCGTTTTATGTGCAGTGTAGATAGAGAGAGATGAACTATGTGTAGCACCTGAAATTCATTTCCTGCACAGTGTACTTATTTGCTCGTCCTATCTCTAATTTTCGTGGTCATCCTATTGACACATCAAGCAACAGGCGGTATTTTTAATAACTAAAAACATTCGAGGAGAACTCATAATCTCTATCTCTCCCATGTAATGACAAATATTAAGCCTGCTAAGTAATTTCTAATTAATGAAATCGACCTGGCGTAATCAGTAATGAGATTATGTTGAGAAGTTGAGATACACATAAGGCTTTTGCTTTTGAGACTATTGAAAACACAAACTTGAGCTTTTGGAATGTTCAAAGCAAAATAATTGAATGCAGTGTTTTGCTTTTAAGGCCTTAACAAGCCTTTTCTCTAAAGAGGCGCAGTGAATTGAGAGCTTTAATTAGTCGTTTTTGTCGCAGGATTTTGTTTTTGCCTCGTAAGCAGTCACTCAGCAAACAGGAAGGAGAAGACTGAAAAAACGGCACCCAATCATCGAAAGTTTGCCTGATGAAGTTTGCAAAATCCAAGACAACTGTGAACCAATTCCAATAAAGCTAGCAGCAGGGGCTTCACAGATTTCAGTTCTTGGGGTTTAAAGCGCAGTAAAAGCTCAGGAGTTTTTATGTAAACCTTCACCATTTTCAATTTTATTAAAAAATAAACGGCCATAGCTTTTTTTTTAAATGGCACTGGGATATAATCCATCAACCAGAAACAAGTTATATACCATATTCCTAATAGGAATATTATGATCAAAAAGTTTTCGTAGAGAAATCATCACGAGGAAAACTAATCTAGTATGACAGGAGAAGAGGCAATTTGAGGTATTCGACAGGGTCACACATTCTACTCGCCCGGTAAGAAGAATGAAAATACATATATCGAGAGGACAGAGGAAAAACGCTAAAACTTGTATAGGTAACACTATAATTTATAACCATTAACCCTGTCTGGATGACGGATAAAGGGAGACAACGAGAATAAATTGAATTATTTTAGCGACTCTAGATTTTGTTAGCAGAATTTTTGATGAATTCCATAAAGCAGGAAGTCACTTCAGGTTTTTGTAGCGAGAGAAGTGATTGTATATTGTATGGAGCAGGGAACCTGCGCACGAGTAAGTTTAGGTAAAGATTGTCACAGTGTGTAACATGCTTAATACAACCGAAAAAGATGTGATCCAAGTCTCCTTTGACACTGCAATGCTCACAAAGTTCCGAGGGTATTAGTTTATGGTTTCAACCTAGCGAGGTGCGAAGGGAAGGAGCCATGTCCAATTTTCATACGAGTAATGCAGGATATGTACTTCCTCGGAATCTCAAAGTTATCATGCCAATATAATCGAGGTATATCTAGTTGGATGGAAGTGTATCTGGACGGGTGGGATGAGCAATATTTTTTCCATTCCCGGGACCAGGATTCGAACATACGTTTTTGAAAAAACAGTTTGATCTTCTACCGATGGAGTGACTTGGAGTACGATGCCATCTGTGATACTCAGTCTGGCCAATTCATCTGCTCTTTCTTTAAACGAGAGACCGCTATGCCCTTTGATCCAGTAAAGATGGACGTCTGCATTAGCGGATTTCAGATCGAGCAACATTTGTCTGAGAAGGAGAACATAGATATTGATAGATGACTTGCAGTTATTGATGTTTCCTAAGGCTACAAGGACAGATTGTGAATCGGAAAATATTACAGCTTTCTGGATGTTATTACATTGGATATACTGTAATGCTTGAATGATAGCAGAGAATATGGTGAACAAATCTGGTAGTTTAAACTTTGCAGAAAAATCATCATCAACAACGTAGAAAGCACAACCTGAACCAGAACTAGACTTGGAAGCATCGGCCATAGGTTTGACGTGAGCTCGCTGCATAGAATGGTCGATCGACTAATACAATGACCAGTAATGTAACATCTGAAACTTATCCTGTAGTCTTCCTGATGATAGAACTGGTGTAAAGAGTATGACTTCTACATACAGTGCTTTTCAGAAAGGTCCTACCTCATTATTTTTTACACGACAGGGGTATTAAGTAAAATATAATGTCAAAAAAGCTGTAAAATGTCAACTTGTGCGCTAGGTAGCTGCTAGAGGGCCATTAGTTCGTTCCGCGTCTACTACAAGTGACCATGATGTGAATGCTAGTTGCAACTGAAACGTGACATTTTATACAAAGACCTACATAATGTCAAAAAATCCTACATAATGTCATGAAATAAAAAATCGATATTGTCACTTTTAAGTTTTAAGTTACGGGCAGTGATGGGCGTTTACGCGTATACATTAATTGTCTACGTCTCGATGCGTATAAAATGAATACAATGTATGCAATGATGAAGACAATGTATAGAACAGCATAAGTGAGGTTAGGTTTATTCGCAAACGTCAGAAAGTTGGTAAACAGTGAACCGATAACTTTAACGACGATGAAACATGGAAAATGCCCTTATTTTGTACGTGCCTTGAAAGCATATATTTTAAGAAGTTAGAACTTAGAAGGTACACCAAGAAATATTTTGAGAAAGCGCTAGTGAAGTTGTTTGGGGAATTTTTTGAAAATGTCTGAGTAAATATACTCAACGCACAAAAACCGAAAGCAAAATATTTTAATGAAGTAGGCACGTTTCCTGCTCCTGTTGTCGACCGAGATGTGTTTGCAGAGAGTTTTCGTATAATTTCTTGGTGATTCAGTATAAGTTATTTTTGGCATTATTTCGTCTGTGTCTAATAGTTTTTTTTGGAGACCCGTTATTAGACTTAGGTCTTGAGCTGTAATGATATTTTTTATCGTAGCTTGGAATAATCAGATTTAAAATGAACATAAAACAATCATTTTACACAATTTGACACTTCCAAAGAGTGATTTCCAAAACTGAGGTAATACAATGAAACCGGCGAAAATGGATGATAATGATTTTCGTGATATAGATATCATAAACCAAGGCAAATAAAGTTACGAAATTAAAAAGTTTTTACCACTAGAGAAAACCGAAAATTTAGAATCACGAAGGATATTGGTATTTCAGATTTCATTATGTTATTAGAGCTAAAAAGAAAATTTTTGTTAGAAATTTTGACAAAAACTGGAACGAAATCTGGAACAGCGTAGCATGCATAAATTTCATTACTCCAAAGTACAGCTTCCTCACTCGAATAGAATGAAAGCTCCGAAGTTTTATGTTTCCGTTTCTTGAAGAAACACAAGTTTCTATTAAAACTCTGATTTAAACTTTTTTGATACATCTTACGTAACAAGAAAATCGCGCGTACCCAATACATGGAAAATGCTCCTATTTTGTACGTGCCTTGAAAGTTTATAATCTAAGAACTTAGAGCGTACATCAAGAAGAGTTTTGAGAAAGTACTAGTAAATCTGTGTGGAGCAATTTTTAAAAATATCCGGGTAAATCAGCTAAGCGCACAAAAATGTAGGTGGACTCAGTTCTTTCCACGTATCCACGTTTCTTGTACCGAAAGAAGAATATTTTAATGAGGTAGGTACGTTTTCTGTTCCTGTCGTCGACCGATGTGTTTGCAGAGAGTTTTCATATTCCAGTGATCCAGTTTAAGTTATTTTTGACCTTATTTTATGTGGCTGGATCAAAGTATCTAAAAGACTTTTTGGAGATCCGCCATGAGACTCAAATTTTGCGCCCTCGGATGATATTTTTATCGCACCTTGGAATAATCAGATTGGAAACGAACACAAAACAATCTTTTTACAGAATATGAAACCTCCAAAGACCGATTTCATAAATTAGGGTAATACAATGAAACTTAGTGACAGATCCCCAGAGAAACTGACGAAAATGGGTGATTATGATTTTCGTGATATAGACATCATGAAACATAGCAAATGAAGTATTGAAATTAAAAAAAAAATTACCAGCAGAGTGTTCAAAATCACGAAGGGTATTGGTATTTTAAATTTTATTATATTACATCTTGAAGAAGACTTTTATTGGAAATTCTGACGAAAACTGGAAGGAAATCTGGAACAATATCAATATCCAGATTAATAGCAAACTAGCTTTCCTAAAAGGATTGCGTATGCATTTACCGCTCTAATTATACATTCAAACTGTTTAATGAAGTCTAACAACTATGCAATTAACTACGAGAATATGTAAACTTTGCAATGGTTTCTCGATAATTTTAAAGTAGTCCCTAGCTTGCTATCGACGTCATTCCAATTAGGTGTTTGCGATATTTGCAAACTTATACCATTTGTAATTACAACTTGTCTTCTTGTTTGCTCTACAATATCTGGCAAGGTGACGTTTTGGAAAGTTGGCCTTGTTATATATTTTGTGGCGCTTCCCGAATTTTCACTTTGTTGCATCGTATTTTCTAGATTGGCAGTACCATGTCGAAAAATGGTTCTTAAAACAGTTTTTTACAGTACCTTCGTTCCAGCGCTTTCTACGGTAAACATTGGCTGTATGATAAATTAAATGATAGAATGAAATGGAAAATGTACAAAGTTTGTTTCTGTCATTTTTTTTGTGGAATAAATAGCTTTGGCGTACGACGGCCGCAAAGTTTACTGTAATACAACATACAAGAGATCATTCGTTTGTTCAAGAGTTTGACATTTTCATTTTGTAAAAGTTTTGATGTGCTCTTTTCGAATCTTTACTTTGCTACTTCAAATCTTCACCGTTTGTGTTGCCATGTTGGGAAAATGGCGACCAGAAAAGTGTTATGACCATGTTTACACCACTATGCTAATAAATAAAAAGTCAGGAAGAAACCAGCGAGCTCTATAGAAATATGGAATTCCCAAAGATTCTCCAATACTTTCCAGGCAACCAAATCATTGTACTTCAGAAAAGTAAAACGATGCAAGCTAACGAACGTCTGGATTTAACATTCTTTATTTACGGTTTTAATGGTACTACGAGTATCAGGTCGGCAAAGATGATTAAAGGTTAGTTGCCAGGCTTCGCCTCCCCACTATCACTATACTACATATTTTCCCTCTTCCCTCGCTAAAGTTCGTTCCTGCCTTTTCTCCTATATCCCCTCATTACCCCACGGTAGCCACGGTTGCTTAGGCGTTAGGCCTCTATGGTGGTTCAAGCATTAACAAAGTTTTAACTAAGATTTACAGTTAGTACTAGTTTATAACTTGAATTTAAATTATATATATATATATATATAACTTTGCGGATTTTGCCCATTATTTTCCTAATTTTTGTTGCATACATTTCTCCGCATGATCATTTTCTCTTTGTAAGTCCTTTCGCCTTGACAACCACAGCAAGTGGCTATAACCGGCTGCGTGGTTGTGGTTAGATGTCTCCTTCAAAATTCGAGGTCTTCTAGCCATTTAATACTACGGTGTGTAGGTTGGCTCTTGTTGTGGACTTCGTGTGTCGTTTTGTCCATCTCCACCTTCGTTTCCTAAAGTTACACCCGTATCCGGATGTGTGGGCATGTGTATCTGCTTTTGTAGTTTCATATGTGCATTCATTTCGGGTCTGATGAAGCCAACCAGCAGCAATACCTATCCTATTTTCTGCCCGAATCCACTTTCCTCCTTTTTGCGGATTTTGCCCATTATTTTCCTACTTCT